CTGGATCCTTAAAAAATATCTTGTGTAATATCAGTTACATATGCCCCAACGTATTTACAACCAAAAAATTCTCTGCTGAGCCACAATTGAGTAAGCAATACATTAAGTTTCAAAACACAAACATTTGGCACTCTCAAGGATTTTTTCAATCACACTGAATAACAGAGAAGAATTAAAGAATTTTGAAGTCCATCTCTCCACAGAGCTCTGTATGTTAGTATTGCCCTTTTTATTGCTTGCCTACAGTAACTGTACAAAACTTCAGCAATTATAAATAGCTCCTGCTATGAGTTCAATTCATAACTCAAGTATGAGGAAAACTCAAATATGTTTTTTCTTGGATCAAAAATATGATAAGCACTCACAATTGGTTTCAATTTTGCACCTTATTATCTCTACTTTTTTTGTTAGATTATTCCTGGGTAGAGTCCACATGTTATATATATTGCCTAGATTTTCCCTTATTTTGATGCACATCAAAGTAGAAAAAGATGCTAGTTGAATAAAGTTTCAGCTCACCAAGGATTACAGCAATGCTGCATTTACTTATCCCCACTTTCTCAAGAATGATGGATTTAGAGCAAGATCTTAAAGTGCAAATTGTAGGTACAAACAAAGGCCAACTTCACAAATTCTTTTCCATGAAAATTATACTGAGGGCGATGAAACAAAAAAGTGATTTTTTTTTTTTTTTTTTACAAGGAAGTATTTTTCCTTTTTTCATTACAGAACCATGATCATCTGTTTATTTAGACAAGAGACAGAACACACTTTTTTATGGCCCAGTATATGGACAGTATGGGATGTCCCATTCTGTATGTATAAGCTCTGTGGTTTGCTGCTTTCCGTCACCTTTCTGAAGGCAGGAGTGGCAGGCACTTCACAGTGCTGGGGAGAGCCAGAAGGTCTTACTGTGACACTGTCTACATTATTAGGAAAGAACTCAGTCCAGGGACCAAAAAGAAAAAAAAAAAAGTGGCCTATAAACTATCCCACCAGTTTATGACAAAAAAACCCTTAAGATTTGAACTCTTCCACTAAGTTAACTCTTTCACACTTAAACTACTTTTCCAAACATTCAATACTCTGCTGGATATCTGTTACTTAAAGAAGCCTTAAAAACATGATTGTCTGATAAAATCACAACCATTTAAGAACAAGTAACAGAATTGGAAAGCACTGAAGGTCATTATGTTTACTTTGCACATAAAAGTTTGCAAAGTTTATGAGAAGAAAATCTCAAAAGAAATGCAGTTGTGTTTAATAACAGCTCCAAGGCAGTTCTAGTTGCAGGTACAAAAATATTTCCATTTTCAAAATTACCGGCAACAACAGGAAAAAAAGCCTGTTCACAAACAAGTGGAAACTACCACTGCCACTTCTCCTACAGTGGTTGTACTTGGACTATTGCTTCCCATCCATCCTGAATATCTTACTTTAAGCTTCATTCGCTTTCTAAACTTTCCAGAAATCGTTTAAGCATTTTTGATACATAATTGAACTCAGACACATAAGGGTTGATGTAGTACTAAAGATTCTGAACTGAACGCAACAGTCTAGAGTTTAAAATGGATTTACAAGTACTTGAATTCTTTGATTGGATTTGACTGATTAAGGAGATAGTGTTCTTGAGCATTACTGTGATAACACAGGTGAAAGCAAATTGTAAGTGAATTGTTATTCTCTTGTTAAAGTCTGTATAGTTTTAGCTACTGAGCTGCAGTAATATTGACAACAGAAGAATACATCAACAACTCTGAAGGGAAAGACATGTCAGAAATAAATATGACACAAAGATATTTATTCAGATCTGAATGTACTGACAACCACGTTTGTTCTCAAATTCTTTAAATTACAAAGCAGTATATTTTTCTAATACCCATTTATCCCTTCTAACTAAATATCAGCTTGGTGCCATGTAAATAATTACGATTTCTCTATTTGTTCATGATTATTTAATTGCTGGAGCAATCTGAAAAGAGTAGGAGCTTTGTCTCAAATTCATTAACTCCACAGGATAGCAAGTCCTGGAAATCCTTACCCATGACTGGGGCTTTTGCATATACTCCTATCAAGACGACAGGTAGAGGGATGTACTTTAAGTAACGGAATACATTTAGCGAGTAAACTCTCCTTCCATTTTCCTAACCATTCTGTGACACATTCATTTCTAAACACTTCAACAATTCAAATAATTTCATGCTACCCCCCCCCCCCCCCCCCCCCCCCACACACACACACAAAACAGAAAATATTTAGTAGCCAAAAAAAAAAAATTTGTTAGTAGCTCTTTGCTAATTTTCTCAGTGAATATTTGACTACAGAGATTTAAGCTTTTGGAGTAGCAAATGTCTCATGGGTAGAAATGTGTTTTAGTTTTGTTGATTGTTTTGAAATAGAGGTGAATACTGAGAACAGACAATTGGCATGCAATTAGAGAGCGAATATAACCTTCATCAGGGCACATTTAATCCTGCAAAAGGGATGCTTTTTGTTTTGTGGAACCACTGATTACACTCACATGCCAGAAAACTCTACAGGTGGTCCCTGTAGAAGTGGTAGAATTATGATTCAATTATAATTTGAATATCCTGCCTTCCTTAGCTACAAGAGAAAGGTTTCCAAGCCACACTCTAGATTATGTTTGTAATCCACACCACTTAGTTCTCTCATACAAGCCATTAGGATTTGTATTAAGTTTGATAGGGGTCCCAGGATTAGTGATACATAACTGTAGGCAGTTGGCACGTGTAATTTGGCACAAGGATTGAACTGAACCTCATGTTATTTCATCTCTTAGTAAGGAAATGAAGGAAGTGTGACACGGCATTTTGCAAAACTGACTGGTAATAGATTATTCAGATTATTGCTTGAAGCATAATCATGGTTTTGTGGGATGCACTATTTTAATAAATCCAGTGAATAAGCAGCCATAAAAAATGATCTTAATCACACTGTAGACATTATTCAATACCACCAACAGAATGATGGTGGAGGGTGGTAAAATTAAACCTCAGCTGTTTTTGGACTTTTACTCAAAGGATGTATTCAAAGAGCAGCCTCACCAGTGCCAAGTACAGAGGCCTTCTTTTCATCCCACAGTGTCACAGGTCACATTTGCTAATTGAAACTGTCAATCCTGTTAGTTAGTATCTATACAATTTTCTGTCTGCTCTATATTATAAACATTTGGGTCAGGCAAGCTCAAAACTTTCAGTTTATCAGATGCTTTTCAAACTAGGTGGCCAAAAGCATTTTACGTGTTTTTGGGAGTCAGAGGGGGAAATGAGCGGCTTTCTGTTTCAGTGAGAAGCTGGAATTTGAGAGAAAAGAAGCACTGAAGAACATTTCTATTTTATACTACAGAGATATGCTGAAAAGAGCTGAAAAATATTTCCATGTGTTCTTCACATTTTAGAATAGAAACACTTTTTTAAAAAATCATTTTCCTTAGTAATTAGTTACAAAGTTGACAAAAATGCAAAAAATTTATAAACAAGAACAGCTTTTGTAGGTCTTTCCCAGTTTGATGGCACTCCTTAGTTAAAACTCCTCCTACACACAGTGTGCCATGTATCTTAAGCTGATGTGGAATTTTAATGTTTTATTTTTAAACATGTAACTAAGATAACAACTCATACAGTACGTATTTTTCTATCAGAGACTATAAAATACACACTACCTTCAACATAATACGATCAGCTCATTAAGCTCATGTTCTGCAAACAACTTGGAAATGTATACCAAACAAGCCAGTGAAAACTCATACCCAGAAGCAGATGGTGAGAACAGCAAAGCTAAGCAAAGAGATGCTTAATTGCAAATTCTATCCAACTAAGCAAAATGATAGTATTCTACATTCACAGACATTTACTTCAGAAAGGAACCCAATGCTTCAACGTGCAGGTTGAGGCAGGGAAGGGCACTTCTGTGTCATTCATCAGGCCAATGTCTACTTGGATAATTGCCACCAATTAAACAGTATTCATGTACAGCTGGCACCAACTTCACAGAACTGTATGCTGTGTAAAATTTCAAGGATTGTTGTCTTGCCAAAAGCAACACATCTATTTTTTTTTCTGTTAAATTAAAAATCAACGAGAGATTTAAAGATGGCCTTTTACAAGTAGACAAGTAATCCAATTTACTCTAGTACAGTTCTCATTCAGAATAAGCCAAATTAAAATGTCTGAAAAAGTGCGTGATAAAAGACATTATAATAAAGTTTTATATTTTACCTACTTTTTATCTACCTCAATAATATTAATAGAGAGAAGAGCAGACATACTTGTCACAGAAGAAAAAAAGTAATGCTGACACAAAAACATTGCACTTCATCCCTGAGAACAACTGCACAGTCACCATAACTTCTACTACAGTCTTTTCCCGAATGCGTGCGACCAGTTCTTTCATGCTCCAGTAAGGGTTTTTTTTTTAAAAAAAAAAATTGCTTTAAGAGATGATTTCACAGGTTAAAAACAACATTTAATAATAATAAATTAGATTTCTGTGGAAACTGAGGAGGACTCTAGGAGTTGGTATTCTTTATGTACTGTTTTCCTAATTTTGCTAAAATTTCAATGCAAGAAAATAATAACAATCCTTTTCCATAGTCAGCACAGAAACTAGAAAGAAATAAAAGCTATAGTTGTCAGAAGATTCCAGGTTTCAATTAGCACTGAAATATAAAATCAGCCTGTGGAAGGAAAGAAGTCACACAGGCTTTCATAGTGGCTCAATCATTACGCAATAAAGTTTACTTCTTGCTCTTTCAAGCCACATAAATGTAAATTTCCCTTTAAATTTCTTACAAGATCTCACTGTATCTTCTGTTCTAAACCAATAACTGTTTTGGAAAACACTTTTGGGAAAAGATTGTTAAGAGTCTCAATAGTATTATCTTTAAACATCAATATCTATTTCCAGAGAAACTGTGTAAGCAGTGTCAGAGGAAAAACAAAACAGATGCAAATATCACATTGAGGACTGTTGTTCCTTACCTTCTAGGTGCTCCATCCTCGTGTGGCTGAATAATCACCACTTTTACAGTTACTGATGTCCGTAAAAGGTCAATCATTTGTTCATGAGTCAAAGTTGCCACAGCCACTTTACAGATTTCAACCAGGCGGCTCCCCTGCCTCAGGCCTGCTTTCCATGCAAAACCGAAGGGCTCCACATCGGCCACTATTCCTTCAAAGTTCACGTGAAATCCAAGCTGGCCCAACCCATTCCTCCGAAGGGTCATTTCTGTGGTTTCGCATCCTCTGGTCACTATCTAAAAAGGTATCAAATTGTTAGGACACTCATTTCTTTGAACACACAGACAAATCACTTTTGAAGCAGTATAAAGCCATGTATTGTTCACAGAATCATTCTGGCTGGTGGAGACCTCTAAAATCATCAAGTCCAACTGTTAACCTAGCATTGCCAAGTCTACCATGTCCCTAAGCACAAGATCTACACATCTTTTAAATACCTCCAGGCATGGTGACTCAGCTACATCCTGAGCAGCCCGCTCCAAGGCTTCACAACTCTTTCAGAGAAGAAGCATCTTCTAACATCCAACCTACACCTCCCTTTGTTGCTTGTTGCTTGGGAGAAGAAACAGACCCCCTCCTTGTTACAACCTCATTTTACGTAGTTGTAGAGAGCAATAATGTCTCCTCCGAGTCTTTTTTCCCCTAAGCTGAACAATCTCAGTCCACTCAGCCACTCCTTGTAAGACTTATTCCCTATACCCAATTGACATTAGATCATAAATACATAGGTCACTCCAAGATAATACCTCCTGTTTTATTTCCACAGAAACTATAACAGATACAAAAAGCACAGTAACTTTGATAAATTCTCAGCTACAAAACACTATTTTTCAACACAGACACCACCATTAGCTATAGATTTACACATGTGATAAAGAAGAGACTGCATGCTGTGCTCTTAACAGATTTGTACCAGTGAAGGTGAAACACCATCGCTGTCACCACTGCTGAAATGCACCACTCACCACCTCACTGTGCTCACATCCATTGTTTGTTCTCCATTAAATATTCACTAAGAATAAATGAAAGTCAATGGGTGCAGTTTTTTCAACATGGAGAAATTTAGTGACACACCTTTGCTTCATACACACTTCTATGATAGACACCATTTTGTCACACTCTACTGGCATCTGTCACACAGTAACAATTTAACAGAATATTGGTGGGAGGATTCAACCTCTACTGCCATACCACTAACATACATCTCTGACATCATGGGCCAACATAATAAAATAGGAGGCATTACTTTCAGAGCAGCCCTCATATTTAATTGCCATTAAATGTTTAATATACTAATACTAATCATAGTTCTGACATCTGTGGTTGTTGGTTTCTTGATAAGTTAAAATGAACAGAACACTTCACAATATTAAAATCTTACATGCCCAATGGAAGCAGCTGTCCTGTGTCAAATTCCTTTCCTTCCCTCACCCCAGCCCAACATGAACTGAACGCCACTTATATCTTATTAAAACATAACAACTGCTTTAGCTTCAAAATTCAAAATAAGCAAAAAAGTAAAGTCCTCTCCTGTCAATTGCCTCACTCTTGTAGGCTGACTGATTGCAGGTGCACATGCATTTTTTCTTCAGTATTAGACATACTGAAGATACAACATGAGCCAAATTAAGTCAAACATTTGACTTCTAGCAGCAGCTCTTTTTCCAGACTTCAGCAATGTAGATCATTTTGATTTATTTGTACTTGTAGTCAGGTTCCTAGCCACCACCACCTCCAGATGCAGACCTCTAAAATGGGATAAGATCTGCATGTCACTAGGAAAGTTAGAAACTTTATTCAATTAAAATTATTTCTGTCCCTATATAGAACACTCAAAAACTTTTAAATGCAGATTTTGCTAATTAGGCTCATTTTTATATATAACGTAATTAATCTTTGAAGTTTTGCTCAGTAAACCTACAGCAGTCTGTATGCTGTGCTACTTTGCCAGATTCCAGGGACCAAATCCTAGCTCACTTCCAAGATAAAATCATGAGTTTCTCTAACATTCCTCTTTGTTTTTGTCACAAAACCAGTATGCATGTTAGCGCCATTACTACAATTACAGCAAAAACTTAATCACTAGCAAAACATAGAATCACAGAATCACCAGGCTTGGAAAAAACCTCCAAGATCATCCAGTCCAACTGTCTGCATATCACCAATATTTCTCACTAAGCTATATCCTTCAGTACATTATCAAAATGTTTCTTGAACACCTCCAGGGATGGTAACTCCACCACCTGCCTGGGCAGCCCATTCCAGTGCCTAACCACCCTGACATTATCAAATCATATTATCAAAAATGTTTGTTCATAATGTATATCATTCTTTCTCCTGCAAGGCAAATATTTTCCCTTTACAGACGTATATGCTAACAGCATAGGTCAAGGGATCTTCCCAAGGTCATAGTGAATGAAGAGCATGCCTTGTTTCACTGTCTGCAGGTACACTGTTTGCACTTTATTTTAGTAATCATTACAAAGGCATGCACATTATCCAACTTTTGACATCTAATTTAGCTACCTTAAGTTAGGAGGCTGGTGTCTGTATATCATTCTCCCTCTCCATTTTCTACTTGAGCCAGAATTTGGGAAGAGTAGCTCAGTAGCTTATTGTGTGCATCCTACAGAAGCATGATCCAACCTAATTCAGGGCTTTATGGGAAGGGCATGGAAACACACAGCTGTGGACAGTGCAATGTCACTGAGACTGGCTAAAGCTGTCACAGAATCCTTTCACCACCTGAGCCAGATGATTTGACTAGGTGCAATTTCATGGGAAGTTTAAGCAGATCTAACACCTTGTTACCTTTCCCTTGCATTACACTACGTCTTGTGCAGCCATGCAGACAAAGATATGACTCATCTGAAAAACAGAGGCTTTTGTTTTCCTTGCTTGTTTTTCTAATAATATTTCAAAGGAGTGGCGGGCAGAGAATGAACAGACTGTCCCTTTCAATTACAGCTACAACCAAAGCATATCAACATCAACAAATGAACTTAAAGCAAACATTAAGCTGCAAGTTACCTTCACAGCTTCCTTTTTATGCTTCCTGTTTAGACAAATCTTTGTCCATGTTTGTTTTAGAGCCTGGAAGGATGGGAGGCCTAACTTTAATTCCTCCTCAATCCAATGGTTGGTGGGAAAAACTATAAAGCATTTGTATAACTTATGCCTGCAAACTGGCCAGCTGAAAGTCAGCATTTTCAATACCTTAGTAAGTTTCAAAGCATTAGCACTATCACCTTTAGAAATTACTTTCTATACAGATATTTACTACCTATTAGGAAAAATTAGAACGTATGCATACACACAAAGAGCTACTATAAGGCTACTGTTAGGGAGCTGATCAACCTAAGAAAATCAAGGTAATCCCCTCATTCATTAAGGTCTAATCCTTACCAATCTGTGAAGCATCAGAAAGATCTTGCAAGGATCAGATATTTCAAGAATCATTGTCTGACAAATTTAGGCTATGTAAGCTGTAGCACATTGACTTCACAGACCTTCTGAGGGTGTCAGCTTCAAAGCTAAAATGTGAAAGGCATTATTCAAATGCCCAATACATATTCTAAGGTTTCGTTTACCAAATCATGTTCTGGATCTTCCCATTGAAATTATTAAATAATTATTTCCCTTGTCATTACTCAGCAGTAAGTTATTTACGTGCATGTATTATTAGAGTTACTCAGCAGACTGAAAACACTAAGCTTTAACTCTCAGCTTTACCTTCAGTCCTGGCTAATTTTCAGCAAAACTTCATAATTTATAGCAGAGAAGTGCAAATTAAAATTTTCAACTCCTCATTACTATCCTTATATTTCTGCCACAAACTTCTGAAACGTATATACAATATTTAGTCACACAATGACTATTACAATCAGGAGCTGCTGATGGATGAAATTTTATTCTCTCAAAAGCACACAATACGATGCTGGGGGGAGCAGATACATGTTTGTTGCTATGTCCCAATTATAGAATACTGCATAACAAATGCACCAACGTATATGGACTTCCTCAACTCAGACGAGTCAGAATCTTCTTCAAATTGGTTAAATATTTGGAAGGTTAAGAGAGATGAAAAGCGATCAATTCTGCTTTAGATTCAACGAGTCCTTAGCAAGGTTAAAAGATTTCCAGGAGATCAAGTGCCCCACAGGCACATCCCCTAAAATATGGCATGGCATCATACATAGTAATGTCACATAAAACAAAGTACTCTCCACTTTAAAGCAGATCTTTCTGTTTACTTGGCTACTGTTTCTGTAAACACATGGCAGTGCCTGAAGGAAGAGATGGCTTTGCTTCTCTGGATACACTTAATATAGATGAAATTAAAAAACAGATCTTCTAAATCCCATGAAGGAACCAGGAAGCATAGAGGCTTCTAATGAACCCTTGTCTACTGAAATTGTTATCCAAAGATCCATTCAGGGTTCTCATTTAATCCCTCTCTCTGCTTTGCTCTATTATCCTAACATCCAGGTCCACAGCTTTTCTGCCTTAAAAGACAAGTCTGTCAAGTTCATCTATAGTTTACTTTTCCTCCTCTGCAGCGTACCAGTTAAAATTCCTCCTCCAATACAGAGCTGACTCTAGATTGAACAATTGCAGCTCTTTCTTTTAGGCCAGAACTCATTCTTTTGGTTCAACCTGAAATCACAGACCACAGCTTTTCACTTCTTTGCTTAATACAGGTATTCAGAGAGACATCCTATTCATTTTGATAATTCAAAGTCAGACAATAAAGTTAATTCTTTGACAATCTCAGTTTTTAAAACCACTGAATGAAACACGCTACACTTAAGAAATGTTTGTACTGGGGCCTAGAAAGATTTAATCATCCAGTCAGTGGAGCTTGCTAATTTGTCACAGTTAAAGCTTACAAGTTCAGCACAGTTGTCAACCTTAGATGTGTTCTGAGTCAACTAAAAGGGTTTTAAAGTATATATATATATATATATATATATATGTGAAGCACTGAATCTGTTTTAAATGCTTTTTTAGTGGTTTTAAGTGCCATCTCTGGAATTCTATACAAAAATATAGATAAGGAACATTCAACATCATAAAATGACTAACTGAAAGTATTCAAGTCAATTAAGCAATATTATTATGACAGATGCTTACTTCCTCATAAAACAGAACACCATTCAAATTAAAAGCTGAAGCTGTGGCAATGATCATCTGTGTTATCATAGCATATAGATTATCATTTTGTATTCAATTACTTCATTTTACAGATCTACCCTCAGAAGCTGGCATGTTTGCATATTTTGTAAAACCAAAGAAATGAAGAACAGCAAAGAAAGTTGTTACAACTGCTGACAGCAGAAGTTTTCATTAGAAATCTGAACCATTTTCCCATCTGTGTTAAGTAGGTGAAAAGTTATATTGTCCATTGTGGAATATATAATAGCAGGGGACTAAGCATACACTAATTTTCAGAAGGAAAATATCTGTGCAAGGAAAGTGAAGCTGAATGCCCCAATGAAAACAATAATAGCAAGAAAAGGAGTCCAAAGGCCTCCATCATTGGAAAAAAAAAAACCAAAAAAAAAAAGATGATTATTTAGAGTAGAATATCATGCAATGCTACATGTGAACGCAGAACTAGAGAAGCCCTGAAACATCAGCTGCAATCCAGCATGAAGAGGGTAAGCATAACAATTCCTGTTCAGTACAAGGCTTTTTAATATAAAAAAGCTAACACCATATATAGGGCACTTAATTTAAGATCGAAGAGGCAAAAAGTGTAACCACATGTAGGAGATGTATCAGCGGTTTTACTTTGGAGCTCCTGTCAGTCCTTTCACACTAACTGGAATAGGTACAGGACAGTTAACTAAGGGTCGTAAGTACCTGAAAATCTTTATCCAGTCAGGTGTAAAAACTGGCATTGTTAGGTCTAGTTTTCTTCACTCCCTGCAGTTGCTTAGTATAAAAAAAAGCAAATCTGCAGAACTTTCACAACTTTTTCTGCTAAGATTCACAGTTTGTTTTTTTGTTTTTTTTTTAATAGCAAATTCAAGTGAGAATATTTTATACACTTGAGATTTTGTGTATTTTTAATTTAAGGTATATTTCTACCTAAAAAGGTGTGAGTCGAGAATAGGCTACAGCAAGGGAAGGCAAAAAGTTAGCTTTTGGGTACTGATTTCAATATTGAAACCATCCATAGCCTCAAGAAGTCTATCAAGTTACTGGTATTTGTTTTCTCATCCCTGAAAATGGTTTGATAACTTATCTCATATGCTGTGTGAGGATTACTTTTCGTAATGCTCTCTGAAGACTGAAAATGGTACTGAAGTACAAACAGAGGACGTTTTTAATTATATCTCAAAGGAGCTGTAGAGAAGCAACTCTTCATAAAAATTTTGGTATTCCAGTTTAGTAATTGTACTTACTTCAAGTCTTTGAACAATTTCTCTGATGTCTTCAGCACAGTTATCCGCTGCAGACAGAAGAATACATTCGCCTCTTTCGTAAAATATTTTGATGCTCATTAATCCAGATGTCCATCCAATAACATCCCTGCAGGAGCAGTTAAACACAACGTTTTTTGACTCCTTTTCAATCAGCATGATAAATTCATTGGAGATTCCAAGGAGACATTCAATGTCAGAAGACTGGCCAAAATCTCGTGCAATCACATTCCACATAATTGCTCCAACACTGAATAAATGGGCATCTTTCCTTGGTTTCACTTTCTCCTTTTTTTTTGCTCCTAAAGTAATAAAGCTAAACTTTGCTGAAGTATCCACTGTAGCTGTGGTAACAAAGTTTTCTGCCAGATCTTTCAAGTATTCTTGACGTGTCCTTGTGGCCATGGCTCGAAACTTTTCCGACTTATGTGCTGCATTTTCAGCATTAATAACTTTGGCTAAAAGAAAGTCCCTAAAGACTGCTGACTTGGGAAAAGTTACTCCTTTGGGAATGGGTGGACCAAATGGAGGTACATCTTTTGATCTTGAAACACCAACACTAAAAACAGAAAAAATGCAATGGTCAATTCCGTAAAAAAAAACAAAAAACAACACAACAACAAAACATCAGAAAACATGCAGTCATCTATGCAGACCAGTTACAACGATAAGTTTAGTTTTAAAATGTAAATGTTCAGATATTATAGACACAAAGAAAACTTATTTAGCCATTTGTTTTAAAAATGTATTTTCTTTCTAAATACGTGACACAGTGAATGTATCCTTATAACACAATGGTTATCGAGGATGAATTCTTAGGGTGTCACTGACTCCCTTCTTTAATGGAATAAATTTATAAATTTTTTGCAAGATATAAATGAGATCTAAGCATTTTTTAAAACGATTTTTTATTTAAAAAAATCACTTTCAGTTTTCATGTAATTTCATTAGATCTAAGAAAAATATAAATGTAAATAAAGTTGATATGAATCTTCAGACATCTTGTAATGCTAAGATGTGAAGACAGAAAAGGTATCAGTTCAAACTGTCTATAATGGAAGCGCTGCCACTACTAAATTCATAACATTTCTTAATATCTACAATATTTCATAGAGAAACTTTACAGCAAAATGTAAAGGAAATAAAAACATTTTTCTCATTGATACTCTAACTACAATTGGTTGCTTGGAAAGGTATTTAATCCATAAAAGAATTTCAAAGTAGCATGCAAACTACATACAACTACTACGAGATTGACTGAAATGCAGGCCACGTTTGCCACCATTTAGTAACAATAAAAATGAACTTATGAAATATGACATAAGAGTATGCACAAAAGAGCTACTAAAACAAAATCAAGTTTCTATAACACATCTTCTCCAGCAATACGATCCAACCTCATGATGCATTCTGAATTTCATATTAAACAAAATATAAAATTCACAAGTGTTAAATCTGTGCCACTGTTCTTGAAGTCCTTCTCATTCTTTGCACACTTCCCAATCAGTTCAGAAATATGCTTCCTCCTTGGTAAACTTGTTAGAATTTATGATACTGTAATTCAACTGTGACAGTTAAGATTAACTGAAATTTGAAATACTACATTCCCCAAAAGCCCTAATTCAAGTGCTTAGACAAAACTCAGGGACTCATATACATTAACAGCATTCTAAAATACTTTATTTTAAACCATTTTCCTACTTTAAGAAAGGAAACATGCAATACAAATTCTGAACTAATTTCTATTGCTATGATTGGAAATCTTACTTTCAGCAACCTGTCATAGCCCCTTTTTGTGTTCATAAATCAAAATGCAGAGCTCTGCAAAAGTCATTTAAATCTTACAGATTGTGCATTGTGATTCTAGATATGTGCAAGGAAGACAATGGTGTTTCAAATTCATGCAAAATGAAGTATAAATCTTAAAACTGTACACATAATACCTCTAGCATGCATAAAAAGGTTAGAAAGGCCAGTTGCATTGTATTCTTAGAAGCAAACTTAAATACTTATAAAGCTCTACTCACCTATAGCACACATTTTCAGTGCAAGGATTATGCACTTTGACTATGACAAATACATGTTGAAAGTGGGAACGAATATTTTTTGGAGTAAAAGGAAGTGCTCCTGGCTCTTGGAAGACAATGGTAACTATATCATTTCCTATATGCCTTTTTCTTAGCAGCTAGACAAGAAACATGCATTGAAAAATTAGTTAAATTAAATAAATCACAATTTCTTCATTTTAGCAAACAAAAAATAAATGATTTTTTTTTTTCAGAAATAAACTTTCAAGTTATGATATTTTGGATGCTGGAAATAAAGGATATCAAGCTGAACTGTAAAATGACAGGAAAAACACCACAACTGGACTAAGTTCACAAAAATACTAATGAGTTTTTCCACATCCCCACACTAGTTCTGCATAGTTTCAGCTCACTTCTCTCTTCTTCTACAAGAAAAAAATTATCTTATTTCAGTGTATCAGAACATTAATTAAAATCACTTCCCCTTTTACAGCATAATATCTGTCTTAATACAAAAAACATTTGATTGTATTTCTCAATGCAATTTCCTCTTCCATATTGCATTTTTATTTAGTATCATCCTTAATGTGATCATCTTAACTTTTATTTTAATAGATTATCATGAGTATCATCACAATCTATACATAGCTGCATACTTCAAGAGAGCCAAGACAAAATATTTATGGAGAAACAATAGCTACTAGAAACTGTATTATTTTAAGCAAGACTTCTGATGAAACTTTAAAACATATATCAGAAAATAGCATTTGATTAAGTCATGTGACTTGATCATCTTATCAGATTTAAGATCAAAGTGAATGTAACTGCCTATTTGAACCAGTTACAATGTGCATCCTTTTGCACACAAATTATGCTATAAACTCACCATGTGGAACTTATCACAGAAATAAATGCATCAGGTAAATCTTAATTTGCTGAGCTAGTGAACCATATATTTAGATCACAGTAGTGAAACAGAAGTTCATATTAAAGAGATTATTATTATCTCACAGGTTGGAATTTACACTGCAGTAAAGTTTCTAGGACACTTTCCAATTACAAGGTACAAGGTGATTCATTACTGTTTTGGTTATGTAACTGCATCTGACCATTTACTCTTTCTTGCCACAGAAAATGCCTCATGCTTCTGCCTATACTTTTCCATAGACAAAATTACAGAAAAAATAGAAAACCGTAACCTTTTAAAAATTGTATTTATTTTTCAAGGCAATCACTGCTTGCAAGTATATTTTCTGCTTTTGTAGAACTCTAAGAGATTCTGCTTGCTGCCACAGGTTACTTAAGCAAGTTCCTTACTAAGAGGCAAGTTTTAGAAATGTTTGAAATTGTACTATAAAAAAAGTCCTTTACGCAACAATGGCCGTTCACACATCCTGTGTCTTGGCTATTATTTCAAGAGCTTAAAACAGTAAGAGACACAAAAACTGTAAATATGAAGTCATCATTTTTAAGAACCTTACCAAGTTTGCTGAGATCTTCAACATTTTAAAATAAAATCAGCATATCACTATTATAAATAACTGTCATGCATAAGTGGTCAGTGAACGTTAACACAATGCAAAGCGCAGTCATATGTCTGTCCACAGAGAGTCAAAATGCAAGGACGTAGAAAGGGAAGAGAAAAATTGGGGTGATCTGGAACATGGAAAGAAGTGCTCTGGATAGGATAAAGGAACAGGAAAATAAAGTACTGAATGGAGGAGGAGGAGGGAACACATACTTCCCCGAAAAATGTGAATTAAGGATAGCATACTGAAAATGAAAGAGGAATTGAAAGAAACTGGAACTAAGCAAGAAGAATTGTAAGAAACTCTCTAGTTTCTATTCTGTAACTCATATATCCCTCCCAACTTTCACATCCTTCCCCAAGCCCCCGGTTCTCAGTTTCTGCTTCCTCTCCCATTTTGAGGTCTGCTCAGGTGTTGTTTTCTTTCCTTTTCCTCACCCCCTCACCCTTCTGCCTTTCTAACATACTCTAAAGATTCTCATGCCAATGCAGAGCACAGTAGGAACTCTCAACAGGGTACACGGGTCACAGAGAATTACTTACAGTAAGGAGATACCAAACACTCTGACATCATTCCAGTATCAAAATAAACTGGCATGGTAGAATTTAAAAATGAACCCAGTCAAGTACGATAGGCAGCCAACAGGAAACCAGCGAAATTTTATTTGGGAATGCAAGACACACAAAGGGGAGTCCAGTAAGGAAAATATGTTAGAAAAGCAGAATCCATTTGATTAAAAGTACTTATACCAAATAATAATTACACTAACTTTGAGATTTTTACTAGAATACACAATTCTTAATTTTCAGATATGCATCTCTGAAGCAAAGTATTAGCTGTCATACAACTTAGGACATTTACAGGCTATATACAGCCATAAATATCTATCCATTTGTGCAGAATTTTATCTACCTCAACAAACTGAGAAACAACAATGTATTCTTGTTGTAGTTGCAGTGAAAAAATACTCTCTTCATTAAATTAAATTCCAAGAGTAAAAAAAAAAAAACAAAAACAAAAAACCCACAAAACTTATTTTAGCACATTTCTAAAATAAACGGCTTTAAAAAATATTAATTTCAATCTGTCATTAATCTGCACCAAAACCAGAAAAAATATCAAAAGATATTTCATCAGATCTGGTAAAAATTAGTTTGACATAAGCATATGTGTGGCTATCTCAAATGTTTCAGCAGTAGGTTAAATTCAAAAACTTCATTTCACTCTTGCATATCTGTTTCAAGTTTTCATTAAACCTGGTGAAAACTGAATTGATTTAGATTATTCAGCTCTTACTATGTGTACATAGGCAGACTGCAAATATGTGAATGGGAAAAATGCAAAGGAATGATTTGGAAAGGGACTTTGCAAAGGTAAAGTTTAAAGGAGATGGCCTAAAACCATGACTTGAAGAAAAGGTCACTGAAGGAAAAGGAACTAGCCACACCAGGGCTGGCATTCTTTTCTGTCCTAGGGAAGGAGCAGCTGACCTGGAAGTTCTCAGCCTATATTGCAGCCAAAGTGAATATTACCTTGGTTTTTGGTTCTCCTGCTGGCTCTAAAACTAGAGGGATGTCCTGATCAGTGACCAAGCAGGGCGTAGTTATGTCCTGGAAGAAGCAACAAACAGTTCTGGTGTGGCCTGGTTTTGGCTCACAGGTATTCGGAATCTAAGAAAAGTTCAGTGCTTGTTCTTCAAAGGTCTTATTTCGAGATGATGAGGAGTAATCCAGTATTTTGTTCAGTCATTGTCAAACAAAGGATATAGGGAGAGGGTGTGATAACCCCATTGCCAGTAAATATACAATATGCTAATAAAAAGTAACTATTGAATGGAGGACTTCATTACTAATAGAATCCAAAAGGAAAATTACCATAATCCCTAAAAAATTCCCCTTTTTTGGCTACGTAGAATTAGTGTGATGACTCCTGAAGAGACGAACAACATCTGCATTCCACATCACCTGTAAGTGTCTCTCTGTTCTGTTTCAAGCACAACTGACGTAACTGCATTTGTGGTCTTCAGCATCTAAAATGTCTCAAGGAAAAAGACCTAATCCAATTTTAACTTAGTTTGTGAAAGCTAGGTTAAAATCCTTGATAATTTTTTTCACAGTATTCATTTTGTTGATAGAAGAAAATTTAATAATGATTGCAGATACTTTTTGAACATTAAGGCTGGCTAAATTCTGGTCATTTGGGTGAACTTGTTGTCACACTTCATTAAGACAGTGTCCGTGCTGCGCAAATAGTACTAGATTCCAGCACTTAAAAATAATGTGGGGTGAGGTGTCTTCAGATAGACATGGTATTAAACTTGGAAAACTGACGCATTATTTTGATCCCAAGAAAGCAATGAATAAACAACATGATGCTTCTACTAAATACTGAACCTGTTAAAGTGACAATGAGTGCTTACTGAAACACTGTGGGAAAAGAGTGTTTGTTGCTGGGGAAAACCATGGAGTTAAAAGGCTGTTATTTACAACAACTGGCACCTGTCGATAAAGAGACACTTAAGGAAATGACAAGAATGTAAGGAAAGTAGAAGAAGAAGTGAAAGGACAGGAATAGGGAGTGGCTGAGCAGAACAGCTGTACAAACTGCAAACAATAGTGAAAATGAGCGGACCAAGTCAAAGGATATCCTTTCCTCACAAACAAGGGAAAGTCATGAAGGATGATAAAAGTAGTAAACTCCAAATAAGGTCATAGTTACTGTCAGTGCCTGTGATTAACTGTGAAAATGTTTATTTTTTTTCTTTAAAGCAAGCTCATTCAGTGCATTATATCATAATAAAGAGTACAGTTTTTCCAATTTACATGTACTTTTTCCAGGTCAACATATTCAGAATTTTTCTATTACAGTTTCTTCATCTGTGCCTTGCTAACTTGTAAAGTTCTTGCAAATACATTATACATATACTAATAAACTGAAATATAACAATGTTTTTGGAGTGTTTCAGGATTTCAGAACCTCGGCCTTGAAGTTATTACTGAAAATGTACAGTACCGTAGGAAAACTTGGGCTATTTAACAAAAACGAAACAGCCAAGTATTCCTGTGTGCAAACCAAAGCAAACACTTCAAATGAGAGTTAAACCATTATGACAGATTACAGAAACAACAACTCCTTACTAAATTAATCCAGTATAGTAATTAAAAATTCAGAGAAGTGAAGATATTGATAACAATTTGTTACCTTGATTACTAGCTACTGTCACAGCTGAGTGTGTGAAGCAGCTGAACATTCTACCCTCTAAAAGGCACACACTTTCATATATGATTTGTCTAAACATGCATGTTATTCACATGATAGAGAATTTTTATATTTTTATGCCTAATTCAGTGTAAAGAAACTAAATTAGGCAAAAAAAATAAAAATTTTATATCATGTGAATAACATGAATCCTAATCCTAACCACATCCTAACCCTGTGTCATACAGTAAAATTCACAGTCGTCTTAACTGTTTAGATGAAACTGTTCTTTAAAGAGTTCTGAGTTAAGAGAACTGACTACCTGAGTCACGTTATAAACCACCATTGCAAACTTCATTTACCCTATATTAAGAATTTTTATTTTTTTTCTTGTATCCTTTTGTTGCTGCCTTGATACATCTTTTTCCTTTCACAAGTCCTATTGACAGGGCAAGACACTTAAGGTGCAAATCATATGGTTTAACAATAACTAACCCAACTTCTGCACACTGTTCACAAAGAAAACTGAGATAGCATCTTCATTTCATGACAACCCTCCAAAATAACCCAAGTCTTTATATCTCGCACCAGAGGGAGATAATATTCTATAAATAAATACAATATTTATTTCTGCAGAGTTAAAGAAATGTAGACTAGTAGTATAGAAAGTCAGAAACTATCAGTAGTCTGAGCAGTAATTCTGCTGTTAAGTTATGATGTTGATATATTATACCAAATGTGCTTGTAGTTTTTCAGTTGGTTATAAGAAATATCTGAGACAGGCAAGACAGAATAACCTTATTGGTGCACACTTTGGCTGCTGTGCTATTGTTTAGCCATCCTTAATGCTTTAAAGATATTTTGAAAATCAGGTAAGCAAAGAGAATTATCAGAAATAAGTACACGGCAGTTTTCTGACTTCACAAGCAGACCCATTGAAGGATACAATTAGACACTGAATATTAAGCTGATGCATCAATAAACGTTTTAAGATCTGCAGCATGAAATAGAGTCATTTAGAAATCTTATCACATGCACATTTTTTACCATAAGACTGTTTTCAAGCTTTATTCCAGGCAACATTTAAAACATATGTAAGATATAAACCAACTCCAAATTGAAAATAACTGATTGACCATGGGCAACTATACTGTGTAATAGCACTGTGAAAAGCAAATATAGAATCAGTTAATAAAGTATAAAGATATTACAAACATCATTTGATTAAGAAAAAAAAAGCAAAAAACCAACATAATCACAAGATTATGAGACACACTTCGTATAAAAACAATTCAGCTCAATTAAAATAAGTACTGTTTGAGAAACAGTAACTCTGTGTTAATATCTATAAAATAAAATCATACAAAAATGGTAAATAACATACCTGTTGCCTGTTACTGGGCATGTATGGAAGCATTGTTGATACATGAAACATTAACTCATAATCTTTGTAAGTAGTATAGAGGGAATGAGTTCCTGTTGAATCAGCTGAAAATGAATTTAATCATAAGAAGGTCAGTAAAATAGAACATTCATATGACTTTTTTGGACACCACTCTGTACATGCTATGATTTAAATCTGTTAATGCAATTTAAAACTTTTTTCAATAGAATAAAAACAATTTGTATCAGCTAAAAATCTGTTCTCTAACTTCATATTATGACAGACAGATTCTGCAAGAAGTTACTCTTAGGGATTGCTGCCTAGGGGATGAACAAATTTTGTATAAGCCAGTACTGTAAGATTTTAATATTTCATGGGATAAGTAAACAAATGATTTAGTTTTGTATTTTATATATATATATTATTATTATTATTTAAAATCTTAATAAAGACAACCTACTAATCCTATTCTTTACCAAAAATAAAGTACTGGCAATGACACTTCAAATCTCACAGTAAAACACATACTGCAGATCAGACATTTTAAAATCACAGAATTTGTACATAAAACGTTGTAGAATGATGTAAAGATAATTTTGTTGGAAATTTTCACAGTTTTAAAAATTATTGAAATACACTTCATATCAGATATGACTTTTTATTAGGTAGTTTAGAAATACAGTTCACATTTCAGAACATTTACAGCAAATTAGTTGGGATTTACTTTGTAGTCAGAAATTAATCGCTGTTATTCATTTTGATGTCTGGATTACTTAGGTATGACTAATTACCTTCAAAGAAAGAGCTTGGGAACTCTACTCTGCCAAGGCAGTTTTCAATTTTTCTTCATTTTTTCAATGTTCGCCTGTTTCTTTTACACAATTTTACATCTTTCATAAGCAATAAGTAATAAGCATTCTCTATCACTCTTTTACATAGTGTTTATTTAGAAAATAAATATTATTTATTTAGAAAACAGTGACCATATGTTATAATTGTTTATGAATACTTATAGATATTTAAAGGGTAGGTGGGGGGGTAGACTCCTTCGGTGCTGCCCAGCACCAGGACAAGGAGCAATGGACACAAACTGGACCCATAGGCAATTCTAAACCCATCTGGATGCTTTCTCAAGCAATCTGCTGTAGGGAACCTGCTGTAACATACACCTAAGTGTACCATTCAGCAGTAACTACACTGTATATCCATAGTCCTAAATTTGAAAGCATTTAAGTGTGTTTATAGTTTTGAATACATTCACATTAAAATTGGCTTAATCAATTATGTGTGCACAAATTAAGTTCATTTACACAATATGAATTAGTTTGATAACAAATAGGGAGCATAATTTCCACTTAAGTTTCTTATTTAGATTTTATTTTACAAAGTAACCATTATTGCATTCCTCTATTGTAAAATCCTTAATGAAATTAATTTCATTATAAACTTTATGTCATTTTAGACAGGCAGAGTTTGGAAGATGTAGAAAGGGGAAAATCAGCTAAATCTTACAATGTAAATATCTGCTTAAACTACTCTGAGCGTGGCAACTCTAGTCCCCGAATCCTTTTACAATTAGATATTAAAGAGGGACAAAGTATCTTGAAAATAATCCCTTTTAAATACTAATTATAGAAAAGCAGATTGTTTAACTTAAAAAAAAAAAAAAAAAAAAAAAAAAAGTTTCTTATACAACATCCTACTCAGTCAAGAGATTTAAATTTAGTACTTTGACTTTGAAAATAAGCCAGAAAGTTTCTTTGGAAATTCAGTCCCTTATATTAAGTAAGCTGAAATTTTCTAACTCAGCAGATGCTCCACTGAACATTTCTTAAGTACCTCTCTGTCTGAATTTACAGAATGGCTGCTACTATAAACTTTTCTCTGCTAATAGTTTTAGCAAACAGCATACCTGGACTATGTTTTTCTGCACCTTGTTCTTTTCTGAATACTTATTTCACAAATTTTGGGGAAAAAAAAACAGCTAAATTTCTTTGAGTAATGAAGCACATCTGCTTTTGTGCAGAAAAGCATTTTTACCAAATGAAATAACACTACTGGTCTTAAATAACTTCATACAGATGAGAATTGCAGCTAGATTATCCTACAAACCAGATTAGATCAGGTACACAGCGGTAGGAAGAACAAAGAAACTTGGAACTTATCTATTCCTAGATCTCTGTGATCATCCAAAAAGACAAAAGATTTCACACAAGACAAGAAGGTCTTAATTTCCTTTAATAATATCTTTCTCAGTTTCCTTCTTGGCAGCTTATCTTTAACAGTTTAAGCAACTTTCCCATTAATTATAAGGACATGTTGCATACACAGGACAGCAGGATTTAATAGCTTAAAATGATGTACTTGGCTAACTATGTTTCTCTTTCACTACACACACTCATATAGCATACAAAAACTGATTTTTTTTTTCCAGGATGTAGCTGACAAGCTACAGAAAAGATCACTGTTTATCATGACCAGTTGACAAAATATTGTTAAAATCACATTAAACTAAAAAAAATGAGTTAAGCTGAAGTTAAGGGCAGTGATGAGCAAAGCTAATAAAGATGTGTGTCACTGTATTGTTAACACTGCAATTCCTATTTTTGCTATACTTCATCTTCCTTGTCTACCGTATAACATTACTAAACAAAATTCAAAGATATGACAATGAAAAGATAAAATGATATTTGCAGATTAACTTGAGAACAGCAGTTCCTACCCTAGATCAGAAACATAACTTACTTTTGTTATCTAGCTGAGCTCTGTATTTACTAAACCCTTTTAGCCGTACTCTCTGGCCCAGCAGATCAAGGAACTCTTCAAAAGCTGGTCCTGCCATCTCATTGTTATACATTTCTTCTTCTGTGCTTTGGCCTGCTTTGCAGTAAAGGATACCAATCTTATGTTGAAAACTCAGCTGAAATAGAAAAAAAAAAAACAAAACCAATTACAGAGTAAAGGAAATTAGTATGAATGGAAAATTATAATACTGACACTGTTAATGTCTAGCAGAAAATATTTGAAAATGCAAAACTGTGTGTTCTTATTTGAGAAATGAAGTCACCATATAAAGCAAAAAGCAAACAAATATACTGAAAGAAAACTGGATTGTCACTATTCAAACAGCTAAAAACAGTGCAAGACAACTTTTGTCTGAAGCAACCTCTACTGCATGTTATAGTATTGGAATTTTAACTGGTAAATTTTGTATATTTGTCCAAGGTGGGTTTATTTTCCCTTAGTTCTTCTATTTAAGATTCAGCCGAACCATTCCCTATACGTGAACTTTCCCCTCCACAACCTTCTAATTCAGTAATAGCAGCCATTCAGAAAATGTGCTTCTCTCAAGCCAGCACCAAAACAGACTCACAGAACAATAATTTCCATTTTATTGTTCAATAAATCTTGCGTCCACCCCATAAAATTGCCCGTTTAAACAATAACAACAAAATATTCAGGTTCCAAAGGTTCTAACATGTAAATACAAGTTCTATAACAACATACTTCAAGCTAGAAATCAAATAGTAGTTGAAGTTTTCTTAAACAAATCATTCTCAATGGTAGGGTATTAATATAAAAAAAGTTATTTCTTGAGTGGAATATGGTCCTGTTTTCTCAACTTCTATGCATGCTTAACATGACAAATTGGAAGCTCTATGCAGTACTCCTAATATTCTTAACTGACAAACCAGTAGAGCTTCACAAACTGACAGACACCATCCGCTGTCTGTATACACACCACTCAGCTCTCCAGATGTTCAGACCAGATCTAATTAAACTTCAGGATTAGTGTCCAAAACAGGAATTATATTTAGACAGTTTCTCACATTAGATCAAAGGTGACAGGAACGGTCTGCTTCGCCTCAGTCATTTGTAAAACAGTCTATATTGTTAAGTATATTAAATTCACAAAAAAGCTACTGCTCTCATGTTTTATCACAGCAGTTTCTAGGAAAAGATGTAAAATTAAAATACTAATAGACTGAATCAAGGAAACACACACTATACAGAAGAAAAAGCATCAAAAATATAATTCCAAACTTCAAATGTTCCTTATCTTTCCTTCTTCATGTAAAATGGAGAAACGTTACCTTTATTGGAGACTTCTATGCAAGGCAGTCACTAAGAATCAATTAGAACAAACAAAAAAAAACCCTACAGTTCCCCAAATCACCCCTGAAGGAATAGAAACTCTCACTATGCTTTTACTAACCTAATTTTTTGTGCTTCATGATTTTAAAATTGAGGTTCCTTGTGTCCCGTGAAATTTAGGGTCTAACTTGACAGCATTCTTGGTTTCATTATTTACCTTCAAGCACAACCAATACACAAATAGTAGAATATCCTAAAGATGTCCAAATCAATGTAGGTTACGGACAGAATCACTGACACTATGAATCTCACGCTCCAAAGCTAAATGTATCGAAATGAAGTACTAGGATAGCAGTAGACTACTAAAATCAATAGCAAAACCCTTCAAAACATCAACTAGACTGAAGTTCATTTTGTGTAATGAAATTAAAGTATCAGTGGGACAATTTATTTCCATGTAACCTTGTATAAAATGCCCTACTCTGCAGTTTCAGCAGATCTATATACAGGTAAAAGCACACTACAGGACTTGATCTACTAGTATGTAACAGACTGTAATAATACACAATGGCAGCCCTTTCCCCTCTCTCACAAGTCCCAGTCCATCCTCTCCATTTGATATATGCTTTTCATAGGGTGAATGTTTAAGTGCTCTCTACATATTCTGACTGAAGGTCATTAACCAGGGATCAGTTAGGAATATAGAATACATACAGGCTCAGTAAGGAAAGGAACGAGGAGTGACACTGCAACAACATTAAGCCTAGACCACACAGAGCACAGATCAACTAGAAACTACCATAGTTTGAAATGAAATGGGTCATCACATAGAAGAAGATTCAGGGGTATGGATGTGTACACTGCTGAAGGTGCCTGAGTTAGACCTCTAATCTCTGGGGAAAGGCAGGGTTAAGATCCCAGTCTGCTCTTGCTATTTCTTCTTGATTGCCATATATACTATCCATCCAGAATGCCTCTCTGATTGATCTCCACATTGAAAGAGTGCCTGGGGAGAGCTAAGGAGCTAATAAAATATTCTGGACTGCATGCCAGGAACTTTTTATTCAGTGTAAAGTTAGCATGAACCCTAAATGGAAGAAAGTGGAAGAACTGCTCATATAAATATCAGATTATAGGAAGCAGTTCTGTTACTTGACACTTTTCAGCAGAGAATGAGAGTGCTTGTAGCACATTGCCACCTCTACCCCAGCTCAGTGTCTAATACTTCAATTTAAAAAACAGGGAACTTAAATTAATTTCCTTGACTTTACGATACTAGTGGCAACAACTAACAGTGCAAGTGAATGGCAAGTCAGGGAACCACTTGGGTAAAATATACAGTATAGAAATTTGCAGTGATGCTCCTTCATTCTTTCCCAGATGAGTCATTTTTGAATTAGATATAGAATCATTAGTATAATTCCAAACAGAAGTGAAGTATCCTTCAAAATGTCCTGTCATTTCATGGTTAAAACACTCTCCTTCAGAAATAGTAAAGACAGAGATTTAAAACCATCCTGCCCATGAAGCACTTAATCCTGGGTATTCAATTCATGGACAAGAATTGCTAATTCTAAGTGATCCTATACAAGGTTGACTCTATCAATACCACTATTCCCTAACAAAACAGCAGCTGGAAACATGCTTGCAATAATCTGAGCCTCCCACCCATGCACTAGGAGCACTCATGTCCACAAGATTAGTAGATTTAAGCAAAGTAACTCAGCTCAGAATCATTTGGCCTGTGTAGAGGCAGAAATCAAGGTACCTGTAGAAAGTCAATGCCTAAGAAAGAAATACATAAATGAGCTTTGAGAGTATCTTAAACAGGTGATTCAACTGATGTGAAAATATCAGAATATCAGAAAATTTAAATTGATAAAGCTTGCCAGTATTGGAATGGCATTCCATGCTTACATAAGTATACGTAATTTCAGACATGGTTCTGATCTCATGATTTCTAAACAAGAAATACTGTGTTTAGTGTAATTGAGAGCTATTTAATAACATGTAATCAGAAAATAATGTCTAAATTCATTGACATACTTGAGTGCTTTGTGTGATTTATTAATTGTGCATGGAACTCCTCAAAATGACAACTTCAAGTTAGAATCATTCATTACTGAACCTTGGTGCCTCGTCGTCTTAAACAGCATAGATTCTTTACCACATAACAACAACTTGACTTTTACCATGTGGAGATTTCAGAATTTTTCTGGAAAGGAACCTCAAAAGCAGCTAAATATCACCACATTCGAAGCTCATATTTTCTTAGGGCTTTTTGTGATCTCAAGCTTTAGTTTGAGAGAGAAGTGAACATTCATAGAGTGATGACTGGTATCAAAAAGTATATATACCATAAATCATTAGTAGAAATGTGGAGTGGAATTAAAGAGAAAAGAAATCCTGTCAAGGTTGTAGATAAACTAATGAATTTTCCTGTAAATTTACAGTCAAATCTAACACTGATCAGCACGTGGCAGAATAACTGGGAACTACTTACATTCTCAAATCATGTCAACCATTCACTTTGCATCAACTTTCTACTGTCATTTTAAGGACAATGCTTTAGCCATGCTTTCTCCACAACCCACTTTAGATTTCACTGGTACTGATTTCTTTCACTACCTGCTTCATAACACTGAAAGAACTTTCAGTCTGCTGAAGAACTATGCACACATGTAATAGACTGTTATACAAAATACTTATTGTTCTGATGACAGTACTAAATCTCTAGATCACGATTCATATTTTTAAATTCATGATATTTCAGGCACTTGTCACTTTCAGCTACAATGCATAACTTTTTATATTTACTTAATTAATAAACTGAAAGCATAAAGTACATAAGGGGATTAAAAGCATAAATGGATCTCATGCCTGTTCTATGCACAGCTTTCTGCTTATATCTAAGTAATTATCCCATAAGAAGCAGTATATAAAATAATTAACACTACATTTTGCATGGTGACAGTCAATTTAAAAGCAAGACTGAATTTTCAGAACCAAGTACTAAGAATCAGTAGTGCTATTACCACTGCGCCTCAAAATTAAGAGTTGATGTTTAAAACTACACTACTCATTGAAGTTACTGATCTCCACAACTATTTTTCAGAAATACTTCTCGTGAGTTTGGGAAATATCTCACTGAAGTCAACTAAACAATTACTCCCTGCTCTCTAGACCATCCAGTGCCTTTAGGAAATGAACATTATTTATTAGATCTAAATCTAAATTCATTCTGGAACTAGAAAAGGAAATCCTGAGAGCAACAGGAGATCAAGAACTCTCATATTCAGAACAGAGCGCTACTGATTTCCTTTGTTGTTTTACCAGAAGCACTGACAAAAACAGTAAAAAATATGGACCTTGGACAAAATTAATTTCAAATTAGAAGTTTTCTTCAAAGACTACAGCAAAGAGAAATAATAAAACATGCACACAAAACCAGCTTAATATTCTAAACCAAAAAGAAATACTCCTCACTCTACCTTCACTTTGTCACAGGAAAAGATTGGTAGACACTAATATGTTTGACGCAACCATGTTTGAAACTGAATTAGCATTAAAAAAATTTATACCACTGCTATAAACAATAGAATCCATCAGCTTCAACGGACAGATATTGACTTTTACATAGAACATGTAAACTTTACTTTAAATGTAATAAAACAAGTTTTTAACACTTCAATGAAATCCCTTCGTAAGTTTGCCCTTCCAAATTATTCATAAGCTATGAATTTACCTACAAGCTTTTAGAGAGGCTGATTCTCTTTATTGAACACAAATTTCATAAACATAAATTTTCAGGGGAAAATGGTGATTATTTCATTACTGGTGCAGTTAATTAATTACATAGTCTCAATTATAATTTCCATTGTTTGAACCAAGAAAGATTCTATTCAATTTACTGTAAAAGTTAATCAGAAAATTAGTGTTAAAAGAAATAAAAATTTAAGATATAGAGATATGTTATATTCTTTTGCATTCTTACCTGTAAGCAGTATTAAGGAAACATATTAGAGGTATTTTCATTTTCATACAGCATTTGTACACAGTATATACAGGACAAAAAAAGATCATGGAAATAACTCAATATAGACATTAGAAGTTTAGTTATAATCCCACTCACTGGTCTAAAGAGGATTGCAATAGCCTAATCATTTTTCTCAAGCTGAAACATATTTAAAATAATTTATTTAGAAAAGTTAACCTCATTTTGTCAATAGAAATGCAGAGCTCATAAGTAAATATTGCCAAAATAAAAAAATGTGACTGATCTGCATTACAGATCCAGGCTTATCAATATTATCTGCAAAATATTTTAAATCCCCACTGCCACCAATACATTCTAATTGAATTATCTTTAAATAAAAGTCATACGTTACATACCCCTTGCTCATCCAATTTAAGTAGCTGTTCAGGTACTTTGGGTGAGTTGGATGCTTGCCTCAGGCACTGAATGCTCAGCTCTGGTATTACATATTCTAGTACTTCTTTGAGAGGCAGACCTCTTGCTGTGCCATGCCTTGCAGTAGATGGTATAGCATCTTCTAAAATTGCTCCTCTAAGTGTAGTAAGCTTCAATAAAGACACAAAGCATTTTTAATTATAATACTAGAAAGAATTTTAGATAATGTGTTCAGGTTTTACAAAAAGCATGAAACAAAGTATGAAGAAAAATATCAATGTATTCAATTTTCTTAAATGAGTAAAAAGATTGCTGGATAACTTTTAAAGAGGACACAGGCTCTTATTATCTCAGTTATGTATTTATAATCAACATGACAGGAGAAGTGACTGCTTCTTCATATGTGGAACAGACGAGTTCACACCTCGCATACTGTGTTCAGTTTTAAGTCCCTGTAACAACAGGAATATTGAATTGCTCCAAAGCATGCAGAGAAGAGCAATGAAGCTGGTGGAGGGAATAGAAAACAAGAACTTATTTGAAGCAATACAGGAAATTGGGCTTGTTTAGTCTGGCGAAAAGGAACCTGAGGAGAGACTTCATTGTTTCTACAACTGCGTCAAAAGAAACTGCAGCAAGGAGAGTGCCAGTTTCCTTTCTTACATGGCAAGTGATAGGACACACAGACATGGTCTCAAGTCGCACCAGGACAGGTTTAGATTGGACATTAGGAAGAATTTTTTTATGGAGAGCTTGGTTAAGTGTTAAAAGAGGCTTGCCCAGAGCAGTGGTGGAGTCCATATCTCTGGAGATATTTAAGATATCAAAACATCGCAATAAGGGAAACAGTTTAGTGATGAGACTCAGGAAGTCAAGCTGATGGTTGGAATTGGTGATCTTGATCTTCTCCAACTGAAATGCTTCTATGTTTTGTATGCTTCTATGTTTTGTTTAAAGAGATTTACTGATGAACTTACTAACTCAGTAAAATTCTGAAGATTTATTTTTTTCTAAAATAGAATTTTAAATCACTAGGAAAGCTAAAAATCATTAATTTTAATGTCATATTACTCCAGAAAATATGGTACTTGATTGTGAGGTTGGACAGACAAGGTAAGCCACGGCTAATGGCATCTTCATTTATCTTATCCATTTTTTAAGCCATGCTAACTTGTCTTTATTGGCAAAAAGAAACATTACGTAGAAGTGAGTAACCTAAATCACTACTCTCCATAAACAGAGGCACATCTTTTTTTGGCAATGAAGGAAAAAACTAGCCATAAAAAAATCTGTTTCTGCATGTTTGTTAGAAGTGCATGAGCCCAGAGATATCAAGAACTTGTTTTAATAGTAATAAAAGGCAAGCAGTCATAGGGATAATAACATTTTGCATTTTCATGCAAATCAGACATAGTTGCTGTCATAAACTATTTTTGCAAGAGATACTAATTGATTTGAAATAAAAATTAAGAGAAATGTCCTTCCATAATAATAATGAAAGCTATTCTTCCAGTTAAAGTAATTATCTTATTAACATATTAACAGAATAGAATAAAATAGTTCCACTTAGAAGTAACCTACAAAGACCGTTAAGTCCAACTGTCTAACCATTTCAAGGCTAACCAAAAGTTAAAGCAGATAGTTGAGGGTATTATCCTTGAACTCTTTTGAATCTGTCAGGCCTGGGGCATCAACCACCTCACTGTGAAGGCCGTTTCGGTATTTCACTTCTTAATACCCTTGACGCGACCTTCTGCCAGTCACACACATCCTATCATTGGTTACCCCTGAGGAGAAGAGAGCAGCACTTCTCCATTTCTCTTCCTTAGGAAGTTGTAAAGTTCTTTCCACAAATTATTTGAAGTGCATAAAGCACGTCTCATAGAAAAAAAAGCTTCTAAGAAAATAGTTTGAAATAGAATACTCAAAAGTACACTTAAGTTTTAGTACTCACTTTCATATTTTTCCCCCTCTTTTTTCCCCTGCATTTCTTAATCATTTTTTCCAATCCTTAGAAGTATAACATTTATCAGTTTGGTCCAAATTTGCCCACAGGTTTGTTCTTATTACCTGATTCCCTGTTTACCTCTTGCAGATATATTAATTTCAGCCAACTTACCTCCTTTTGGATGCCTATCTAAAAATACAAATTGTATGTAGCAGTGAAGAGAAGAACTTCGATCTAGGTAGCGACTACATTTACTAACAGTACAAGAAACATTACTTTCCCAATAACAGATTTACTTTCCAAGTTAGCAAACAACTAGCACCCTAAGTTCTAAGTCAGCTTTCCTCTGCAGAATTACTGAAATAATATTACCAAAATAATATTACCTCACTTGTTCTGAAAACTATACGATAGTTGAACTGAGATCCTTCTTTCTCCTTAGCATCTTCAACCTTCTCCCTCCGGATGCTGACTGCTACAGGTCCAAGATTTTCATCTATTCCAAAGTAGTTCTGATGTTCTTTTGCACAAAATTGAATGAAGAAAGAAGAGAATAATGAAGTGTGAATCTCCCAGAAAACGTTCAAACTACATTAAAAAATTTTGCACCAAAAGAAGTACTGTTTCTAATTGAGTGCAGTGATTTGTAAATACATTGGGTGTACTCTGTACTTACTGTACAGTAAGCATGTAAGTCACAAAATATGAACTTTGATTAGTAGAATGATACCTCATCACACAACCCGTAATTAAGTTCAACTTCTGATACAGAAATAGTTATTTTTTTACATGACATTGTAAGAAACTAATTTGAAAAAACTTTATCTAGATAAAGTTTCTAATAAAAGTTAGTAGTCTCCAAACAAATAAGGTACCATGTAGGTTCCTTCATTCCATTCAGTTTACTCTTATTCTTGCTTAACACTTTACATTCAGTAATTCAGTTTCAAGAAGTGAAAATTGAGAATAGTGACTCTTCAATCTTTGTGTAAAGTTAAATTGGGACTCTTAGGCCCTAATCAGATTAAAGAAAAAATTATAATGGAAGCCAATAAAAAGATGCTTGGGAATAGCCTGAATAGATCTACTAAATGCAAACAGCATATCACCAAACCAATTGCTTTCTACAATGAGATAACTAGTTTAGTGGATGAAGATGCAGCAGTGAATGCCAACAACATGTATTTTTGCAATGCTTTTGATAGCCTTCCATAGTATCTGTGTATGTAAACTGAAAAGACTTGCTTTGGACATAGAAGTTACAAAGTAGACAAAGTAACTGGACAACTGTCCTAAAACGATTCTGATACGCAATATAAATTCCATTTAGTGGCCAGTTGCTAAAGGAGTTGTATCAAAATTATAGTAGACAGGAGCTGCTTCTGTTTAATACCCTTTCTTAAAGATTTGAAGGATGGGATGGAATTTCACAAGCAAGTCTAAATTCAAGGGAAAGAGTTCATGTATTGGAGGTTATAGCTGCATTTCTGAGGGACCTCAGCAGTCTAAGAACACAAAGACTGACACAGACCTGCATTTCAGACAGAGAAAGGTCATGAAATGGCATGGGCTTGGGACAAACTAGTTCAGAAGCAGCTCTGGCCCAGGTGAGCACTAAGTTCCACAGCAGTCAGCAGAACAGCCTGGTAGGAACGAAGGCTAAGCACACTCCAGGCTGTGCTAGTCGGAATATTCTAGTAGGTCAAAAGAAAAGATTATTCCTCTTTATCTGGCACTTTTGAGACCACACATGCAATGTTGTCACCCTCTGTCCAAAACTGGATACAAATCCGACAGACAATTAGAAAGAAAACTTTGAAGACAACAGGAAGTTGGAGCATGTAACAGACGAACCAAAGCTTGAAGATGAATTTTCACAGCCTTAAGAAGAGTAGAAGGAGAGCAATTGTCTCATCCCACCACCTGAAGGAGAGCAACAGTAAAGAGAGAACCAGACTCTTCTCCAAGGTAAGAAAAGAAAGGACAAGATTCCTCAGTTACAAAATGCTGCTCCCCATAATGGAGAATCAAACCAAGGAGCAGAATGCCAGGAGAGTTTGTGAAATCTCTATTTCTGAAAATAGAATGAATCTAGAGAGACAAGGTTCCGAACAGGTTGCTCAGAATCTACTTTTAAAGGTGGCTTTTAATAGTGAATTGGACTGATGATCTTTGGAATTTTCCCCCAGTTTATGCTATAACTCTAGGTTTTAAATAGTAACGATGCAGTAGATTAATTTGTTCTTTTAAGATTACCTACATTAAACTAGTTTGATGAATGAATAAGAAAGCTTTCAGAAATGAATAAGGAAGTTTTCACAAAATTTCTTTTGCTGGGAAGTCATCCCAGAGATCCCACGCTTGGAATGGATACAAAAAGATGAAGTTATCTCTAATTATGTAAATGACAGACTTATTTGTCAAATCAATTTTAAATTATACTTCCAGTAATTTTCCAAAGATCTGGGTATAAAGTGGTGGTTACAGTCCATCTCCCACTGGAAAGAAAACGAGTAGCAGCACATTATAGACAGAAAAATTCTTTTTCAAGGAACACCTGGGATCAAAAAGGCACAGACAAACCTATTCTTTCATGCTCACCAGCTACGCTACATTCTTCTCTCCATCTCCATCCTGGCCATTATATCTGCATGGATTAATTATGGCTCATACTTCATAGTGTTAAGTCAAAACTTTGAATTTCAATTAGTAAACTTAATGAATCAGTGGAACAAGATTGTACAGATTATCAAAATATTAATTTGTGTGTGCACGAGAGAATAAAATTCGTAGGTAAAACATTCTGAACAACATAACTCCCCATAGCTGCTTAGTCGGGCTTTGACAATGGGTGAACTTGGTTTGTATAGCTCTCTGTTTCGAGGTAGAGAAAACTGTATTCCACATTTACCAGGCACCTTGGCAGCTATATTACTGAGCAGAAAAATGCAAGCTTGGCAGATATGTTGTACAAGACGTTAGTGGATAAGAGAAAAAAATTAAAATGTTATGAATGTATATATTTCAATGTTTAGAGTCAGTATTTTTAATTGTAAGTTGTTGTTTTGTTTCTTAGTTTTTTTAATCTCAAGCTACAAACTCATTAAGCTCACTAAATTTATTTACGTTGAATTGAAAGTATCATCTTTTTGAAATGAAAGAGGAAAATGCTATTTTCTAGCTGTTTGAAGAGAGACAGTAAATAATCTATCTGTCATTTTGAGGAACAGATGTCAACATTCCTTCTTACATGAAGGTCTTATAGAACTCTGAGTTAATACCAAAAGTTTGCTAAGCCTGCACGTTTCTTTTAAGACATTTTTTTCCACTTTGATATCAGTTCATAAATCCAACAATTGTAAAAACTGCTAGCAAGCATCCCACAAATAAAAAGCATAGTAATAACAGTCAAGTCTTGAGGTATTATGAGGATAATCACACAAAAGGAAAAGGACAACTCAATGACAATAACAGCATGCTTCAATTATCCTTTTTTAAAAAAATCAACACAATTTTCCCCCCTCTCATCTCAGTCCATCACACAAAATTGTAGTTCACTGAAGGACACAATTAATAAATCAAAACCATTAGATAAAATAAAATGTTTTAGCTTTTGATAACCTTAACTGGAAACTGAAGATCTTTTTCATAAACATTAACATATTTTACATCAGTCTTGTTGGATTTGATTTTAACAATAGTTACAATGCTTATAAATATGCAATATAAAACTACAGCTCATTTCAGAAGATTGAATTCCAAATCTTTCATTTCTTCAAAGGGAATGGAATAATTAGTGCTACACATGCCCGGGTGTTTCTTCAATGCATCTTAAAACAGAAATAAAACTTGTATGCTGACAAGTGCCAATTATAAAACTGTGAATTAAATCACATATGCAGAAAGTTGTTTCTCTATCACAGATATGTTATTGAAGGCAAAGAAAATCAGTAGCATTACATATGTCTCTACATGCAAGTGACTATTTGCTACATTTTTCATTTCATCCTTCCATAATTATTTTGCTAAATTCAACTGTGTTATTAAATCTACAATTCACTGAACAATCAGCTAGGATAACTCGGTGTCACAGAATAGGATCAAGTCTCGGTACGCATATAAATGTCATTTTTTCTTACACAGGAGATCAGCACAACAGCAAGACATTTTGGCACTGAAAAATACCTGTTCTATATCCTCTATGTGCTTTTTTTTTTTTAGGTAAAACTGCACTCAGCGGGAGGTAATCTGGAGATTCCACACATGCCTGATCCCCTCAGATAGCAGATACCAAAAACTGAGTTTTTGCTATGTGTGCCCTGACTTGCTTATTCTTTTATTCCTAAGAGTTATCAAATAAAGGTTTCTCTTCTACAGCTTCTGTTACTGTCCCATGGAAACTTAATACGGGAGAGGGCATGGCATATATATATGATTTTAAGGGTGAAACCGCAACAGTTTCTTCCTGAATACTAAATGTATCACGGTATTTACTTTTGAAGAACATTACCCACAGAGCACTTAGTAACAAGGACATTAACAATTCACATTCACTAGTATTACACCATATGGAGTACAATTCTCAGATACTATTTAAGTTTTCAATATTACACTAACATAAATACACTATTTTTAATCAAGAGATCATTCATCATCAGAACATTAGTTACTTAAAAACAACTTCACTTGCATCAGCTTTCAAGAAAAAACATTAACTTTGTTTCAGGTATCTTAAAGTGTTTTCTCTTTGTATTTTCTTTCTCCTTCCAACACTGTTTTTATTGCAAAAACAAAAACAAAAACGTTCAGCTCTTTGGAACCTTTAACACCTCCACTGCAAAAGAATTTCACAGACAAGTCATCTTTTATTTGGCTTAGTCCTTGTCTTTTTTTCCTTCTTCCTACTATACCATAACATTTCTCCATTGACAATTATTTCTGTCTATGCCAATCCTCTCTTCTGCCTTTCAAATAATACACACTACCCTCACAAGTTTCCCTTCATTCTCTTCCACTCTGACTCCCTCAGCACTTTTTGGTCCATTGCAACCTGCCTAGCATAGAAGCCATTTTGAATGCTTGAATTTACTGCCCATCCTTGCTTAGCTATGTGCCTTTTTCTTTCTCATACATGACAGTTCTAGATTTTTCCCTCCTTTTCTTTTAAATACACCATTTTTACAATCTGTATGTCCTAGGCTTCCACCATGTTATTAAACCTTACTGGACTTTCTTTTGAGTCTCTCATGAAGGGTCACAGGAGTAAGGAGTACAGGAAGGAATACAGTATAGAGCTTATTTCCTGCTGTTCAAATACAGTTAGAAGACAAAGGAAAAATGATTTCAGGAAGTCTTAGGTTTGGGTGTCTGTTCTTTTTTTGTTTGTTTGTTTGCTTTGCTTTTTGTTCTTTGTTTTGTTCTTTTTTTTCCGTTCTTTTAATAGCAGCAAAAAGATTGAGCGGGAACTCAGAACAGATAGGCCAGAGAGTATTTCGGGTTTCTGCCTCTCACAAAAACAGGGATTAAAACAAACTGAGAGCAAGGCAGAGCTGAATACAGAGAGCCAAAGCAGATCAGAGTGGAAATTTCCTCTCTGAATAACAATTCAAGCCAAGTTAGTTACTCTACTGAGAAGAGCACCCTGCTACTTTGCAGTTTGATGATACCCAAAAGAGTAAAAGGACAGGAGAAAAGCATACAACAATCTTCTTAAGGCTCAAAAATTAAATACTGTCAACAGCTCTGCGTTTAATCAGCATACATATGTATGCAAAGTAAACACCCTAGGGACACAAGAAGACAGTTTAATTTAGAAGGCAGTCATGAGCTTTGATAATGAAATGTTTTCTTCTGGAAACACCTTTTAGGAAATAATGATTTCCATTCTGAGTATCGGTATTTCCACAGCTTTTTCTGGGTATAAAACTGATCTTTTTTTTCCTGCCCTCGAAGAAAGTCTTGGAACAGAGAAGTTACTTCATCTACCAATTTAAGTGATCCAACACTTAGCGAATTTAGGCAAGTACTGCATATCTTTACACATAAGCCACTGGACTCTTGCTTACCCATAGGGAAATATTAAGAGGCTTAACTTTAGTAGCACATTTCAAGATCCCCAGTAATATTTAGGTCTTCCCATAGAAAAGAATTTTATTTTTTTTCCTAAGCAAGTAAAATCTAATCCATGGTTTGAGACATGCACACATTAGAAGAAATTACCTTTTCCATAGAAGAATTTGCGGTAATAATACGCTCCAAGATCAATGTGTTCTATGATGTAACGCTTCACTTTCTCTCTGTGAATCGACTGGTTTTCTCTTGGTACCTCTAGCACTGAAACACCAGCATTTGTGCAATGGGAACTCAGAGACGACTCAAAAGAACAACTTTCACCTGAAGAAAAAGATGCTGAATTTGCCCTGGAAAGTGCAATCCGTCTGTCTCCTTCCCCACCAGTTTCATTCCTGAAGTAAGGACAACTTAATACTAAGTCATTACTTTTCCCATCACCCTCATCAGCATCTAAGTTCTCTTTTGAATTGAGATCTTCTTTGCTTCCCAAAGGCGATTCACAGTTTCCCGTTTGGCCTGCTGGCATCTGAGTTTGTGATGCAGCTGAAGCCCCAGTGGTTATATTTTTCCTTTTTCCCACATTTACTCTGGTAGCCATTGCTTCATTTATGTTAAACAAAATGCTCTGGACATCGTAATGTGCAAAACACTTCTGACAGTTCCAGGAGCGAACATTTCTGTCGAGTCTATCATCCAGATCAGAAGAAAACTTAAAAGTCTCATGTTCACTTTTAACTGTTCGTAATTTTCTAAATAGAGACGTTTCTACCGTTTCTGATTTTAGTCTCCTCTTGAAAGATTTCTCCCTTTCTCGACCAATAAGCAGGGCACTATCCATATAATCCAAGCCAGAAATCCTGACAAATTCTCCCCTGGAAATCTGTGCAGCAGCATGTAGACTTGGAGAAACTGAAGGATCACAGTGGAAAAACTCAGGAAATCCAAAAGGAGCAAGGGCTTTATGTTCAAAATTTTCCACTCTGTATCCTCTTAGCATTGCAAAAAAATTTTCTCCAGACAATCCTTGCCTGTCAATTGAAGAAGTACTGCCATATTCTCTATGAAGTGCTGCTCCAGTATTTGGGTTGACAGCATTCTGGTCTAAAACATCTTCAGCATCAATATCACTTATTGTCACATCGCTGTTGCTTCTCTGCCTTATGGGATGAAGTCCCCTTTGAGGCGAATGAACAAAAAGATCCCCAATAGAGTATTTTCCCTCTGCAAATTCCAGTTCCAGCTCTTCTTGCTGCCCTTCATTTTGGTCATTTTGTCCATTTGGATGTACTGATCCAACGCTTTCATAACTAGCTGGTGGTCTGTTTTCCCAAGCAGCTTTACTCAGCTCTTTAGAGCAATCCTTTTTAGGGGGCCATTCAGATACCCTTGCTCGAACACCCATTTTAGGCACAGCTGGTGTACCATTCGATTGACTACTCTCAGATTTGCTAGATGCATTTGAAGGAACAGGAGGACCCATGCTACCATTCAAAGCCTTAAGTTTTCTAGCAAAATAATCATCAGATTGCATGCTTCTTGAAGACTCCCTGAACTTTGAAGAAGTTCTGCTGATTTTGTGCTTATCTTCTTGCAAAGACCTTTGATCACTCATGTCCAGTCAGTGGGAGGGGAACCACTAAAGTCACATAAATGTACTGTTAGTTTTATTATTACATTGTTTTTTCACGGGCCAGTAAACCCCAAAGTAAATACACAGTTACAGTCTTCCCACAAGAGTAAGTAGAACTCTCAGTGTCCCATTTTTGTCCAACTTCTGCCAGGAGAGCAATCTTAAAACATTTCCTTCCGTTCAGATGCATTCAGTTCAGTATTAATCCAGTCAAATGTTTTTTATCTGTTTAGAAAAGAAATGAAAACAAAGCGTATTAAAATGTTTATAGTCAACAATGGTAAGCTTTCAGTGTTCTTTGTATACATACCATCACCCATGAAACTGAAACTAATGAGAATGTTTCTTGTGGTTTTATATGCTCTGACACTTAAAACACAATAAATGCAAAAATTCCAGTTTCCTATATGATCCCCACAGGATGTGAGTAGTTTGGACTTGCACACCTGTTCATTGGCCAACCAGTACATGTACACTGTCTAGCCAGCTGACAGGTTCTGACAAACATATCAGCTATGTACAATTCTGTCCTTTTCTTCCCTCCCCCCAATACTGACAGTAATAATAGATGCCTAATCTCTACTTAATCACTGTTTTTTACACAACATGAGAGTACAGTCATCTCCAAGACATCTTTTTAATGTTTCCTTGAGACTGATTAATATAGGAATTACTGAGGCAAGAGTAGTAAAAATGTAAGTAAAACATATGAAAACAGAAAGGACAATAGACAAATCAAATCAAAATTTTCCATTTAAAAGAGCATTTTAAGAATTAGTAAATTTTCTATGATAACTCAGTGAATAAATGTATTTTTCCCCCTCTCCCAACAGATTTCCTTATCCTCCTTTACTTAGAGTGCAAAACAGCTTTGTTTGTTACATTAACATTCCACTAGCTGGAAATGTGGGTCGTTAATGTAGTTACTATACTAGAGAACACATCTGCTGCCTTCCATAAACCAGACAAGAGAGTAGCCCTATTGATAAGTTTCAAATTACTTACAAATTTGGAATTTCTAGGACAAAAATATATATATATCTTTAAAAACTTTAATGACCTCAAAGAAGATTATAACTCATGCTGTGAAGATTCATTCACAAGCAGAGCACATACTTTAATGCATCACATAAAACTAGACTAACAAACATACATGCCTTTATGAGACTTAAAGAAAGCCAGGTCAAATTAGACCGAAATATGAATTCTCCATTTACTTCAGTTAAGATAAGAGATAATGAGAGGAGCTCAGAAAATGATTTCTTTTTCTCCCTATATTTAATGCCACAGAAACTCCCAAAGAGAAAAAAAAAAAAAAAAAAAAAAGTGTGAGGCAGGGAGGAAAAGGATTAATTTGAAATAAAAGTTCAGAGTTTTTTTTCTGGATGTCAGAAAAAAGAAAAAAACAACACAGAGATGCATTTCATACAGCAAACTTGAGGAGTCTGCTAAAATGAGTCAATAAACACAAGCTAGCATCATGAATATGATGGTTTCTATGCAACTCATTGTTACTGCTATCTATATCCAAAGATATGTTTATATATTGCAACTTTAACTACATATGAATTCCTCAAAACTTGTTTGATGGCTAAATACATTAAGTAAAATAAAGTTCTGGTTTTGTTACCAGACTCCAAAAATTCTATACATTAACTTGTTTGGAAAAACAATCATTCAGAAAAAATAGGTAGGATTTTTAAACACAGACTTATAATAATACAACATAAAAAGAAAAGTACCCATCAACATACTTAGCATTTTTGTGGCACAACTAATATTGTAGTGGTGAGATACATTAAAACTTCCGTGAGATTCACATTAACATGAACAGCTGACAGCATTTTTAGTTTTTATACAAAATATTTATTGGAAGTGTTCTTTATATGAATAGTAAAGTTTTCACATTAAGTCAACTTTACCAAATAAAAAACAATGAAAGAAGACTAAGCTACTCCAGAATCATCTTTCTAATTATGCAAGAAAAAGAAGTATTGAGAATAAATAGAGTGCAATTTTTCATATCAGGAAGAATATTTAGCTTCTTACTGAAGATTAATTTTTTTAATTATAGAGAATCACTTCTTCTAGACTTCTTGTCTTTTCCTACACAAATCCATTCACAGAAGTTGCTACTCTGTGAAATTATTTTTAATAAAAAATAAGCTCTTACAAAATGGAAAAATATATGTAAGGCCAATACTGTTTATTCTACAAAAATTCAATTCTTTTCTTCCCTTCTGTTAACTTTTTTCCATGATACGCATTTGTGCAAAAGTTGTGAATTGGGACAGGAATGTAACTGTAGGTCAAAATTAAATTGGATATGAAGTGGTGGGAGGCAAAAAGGGGTAGTAACAAATAAACTACCACCCTAGTTATTTTGAATCCAAATCCATAGTGTAATTTTACCATTTAGTCTCACAAAGTCTCTATTTGCAAATAGCAGGAAAGAACCCAGAGGCAAGACAATCTTTTCTGGTAGTGTTGCCTTAAACACTTCATGTAGCATGGCCTGAGCATTTTAATTAAAGGTACTTTACAAAAGGTAACATTTAAAGAGTATTATTCTTCTTTACAGAGCAAAGCTGGAAAGACAGAAGAAGAAATGCCTGTTTTAGAATTCATGGTTGGCATTTTATTGAAAATTTGATCACATCTTCAAATACTAATATTTGTTTAAGATATACTAGGAAACTTAAAAAAAAAAAAAAAAAAAAAGAACTTGGCATAATAGATAAAATCTGCCTGTTTTAAATGTAAAATGTGTGTTATAGCACTGACCATTTCTGTAAATTTCCAAAACTTAGCACAATAGCATGCTTTGATTGACAGCTGGTCTATGGTGATTAAGCTATCCTGTACTTGTTATTTTTAATGGTTTTCTCTCTCCATAATAAGAACTGAGCAACTCACAAGCATCTAGAGATGACGTTGATACTATCTGATATAAACTTATCTTATTTGGTAAATGTAATGAACTATCACTTCCACCAAGAATGCTGTCAGTAAGATCATGAGTACTCGCTTGTCCCATTTCCTTCAAAATCTTCAAGTCTTTCTCTTCTCATTTTATGACTTAAGAACGGAATCACTAACAGGCAAGTCAGAAGATAAAAAGCTCCATGCTGCCTACCCTGCTGTTGTCCTCCTGCCAACTCTTCCCACTAAGGCTGCTGGATGTTATGCAAATAACCTCAGTTCCTTCCACACTGCTACAAAGACTTCCTTCTGAGCTCAATACAGCAGCCGGTTTGTTAGCCACAGTTACAGTTCTTTAAAATGGAATGTTTCCAAGTTTTCTGGGGACCTGGATATATGCCCACAGAGGCTCCTGTGCCAGTAGCAGAGCAATGAATAAGAACTGTACTACTGCTCTATCCTGTCAAAAGGAGGTTGTTTGGTAACCCTGCCTCATGTCAGCCTTGATAGACGGAAATGAATTATTTAAGAAGTCTTTCTGTAACCATTTTGTTGATCAAGAATTTGGAAATCTGCCCCTATTATTATGTAATGTTATCATCCTAAAAAGGACACATAATTTGGATGAAAGCATTAATCTCTACTATTCATCAAGATGACAATTCTACAAATCATGACTCTCAAGATCTACTAATCTTAAAAAATGGGAAGTGCAATTTGATAAAATAGGAGTGTGGGAAGAAAGAAGATACAAAAAGCTGAAGACATAATTTGTATTCACATAATTCTACGCAACATTTTATGTGTGCTCAGTTTCTGCTTAGTTTCCACTCTTCAAAGAAATATATGGAAATATAGTATTCTCTCTCATTTATTTATTTACTTATTTTTGCCACTATTGCAAAGTAGCAGCTACACAATGGCTACTTTATGGAAATTTAAAGCAAGTCTGCAAGAAAATTCCGTTCAATGAAAATGAACAAAGCAAAGGAGAAATGTACGTAGTTTTCCAGCTACCGATATTCTCAAAAATCCTGAACATAATCCACTGAACAAATCTGATCCAAACTATTATTTCCTAAAACTAATCCAGGAAAAAGAAACAGTACGTTTTCAAAACAAGAAAATTCATATGAAAATATTTTTAGTATACATATTAAAGGCATTTATTTCTTAACCCTGCAGCCTAATTCCAAGTTGATTCTGAAATCAGAATTACCCAATTGTCATTAGCGAAGTAAGGGCTATGCTTGGATTTCAAGCATGTGTCCGAGGTAGAAAATTCTGGTCACACAGAACTGTGATCTCATACCATATGACAGTTGACTACGATATCACAGGAGAACTATTACTTAAGATTGTAATATGAAAAAGGAAGATGAGCTCTTCAGGCATTTGTTTTCATGCAAATGTCTCTAGAAAGCCATGATATTTAAGAATAATTGTCTTTAAATAGAACATTTCTTTCAAAGTTTTCTATGAGGCACAGTGAATATTAAAGGATGACACTAACTATAATTGAGCTGCTTATTCAGATTGCAGCTGTGCAAAATGGTTTGGAAATAATAAAATGAACAAATTATGAGCACAGTTCATGAAAAAGTGATTCAAGTTATAATATACCAAATTTACAATTAAAGCTATAACTACTAGAGTATAAATGGTTACTTCTCATACGAATATTTCAGACACTTGATTAATATGCAGACATAGATAAGAGACAGAGGAAAGATGGGAAGTTCTTCATTTGACTACAGGAAATACATCTGAGTCGCTATGTAGTGAATATTTGTAGCACACTTCCTTAGTTGCTTTGTCTTTCCTTACAATTATCATAATTATTGCAAGAGAAAAGTAAAAGAAGAAAGTTACAAGAAACCCTTGTTGAAATGATAGAGTTACAGAAATATATTTTCCTACAGAATAATCAACCAACAATCATATCACAGCTTAAATTATTTAGGATAGAGTGGCAGGGTTGAGAGGGGAAAATAATAACTAAGAATGACAACAGCGTACATGGTTCTCAATACCAGTACAAGAGCACAGCATTTCCAGTCAAGGCAGTACAGTTGCATGACTTTGGAACACATACAAGATTCATAGAATCATATAATGGCTTAGGTTGGAGGGGATCTTAAATATCATCCAGTCCCAATTACCTGCCATGGGCAGGGCTGCCACTCACCAGCTCAGGCTGCCCAGAGTCCCATCCAACCTGGCCTTAAACACCTCTAGGAATAGGGCATCTAGAGCTTCTCTGGACAGCCTGCGCCAGTGCCTCTGCACCCTCTAAGTAAAGA